TAACAAAAGATGTGAAAGACCTCTACAAGGAAAACTATACACTTCTGAAGAAAGAGATTGAGGAAGACTATAGAAAGTGGAGAGATCTCCCATGCTCATGGATTGGTAGAATCAACATAGTAAAAATGTCGATACTCCCAAAGTAATCTACATGTTTAATGCAATTCCCATCAAAATTCCAATGACATTCATTAAAGAGATTGAAAAAATCTACTGTTAAATTTATATGGAAACACAAGAGCCACGAATAGCCAAGGCAATACTCAGTCAAAAGAACAATGCAGGAGGTATCACAATACCTGACTTCAAACTATATTACAAAGCAATAACAATAAAAACAGCATGGTACTGGCACAAAAACAGACATGAAGACCAGTGGAACAGAATAGAGGACCCAGATATGAAGCCACACAACTATAACCAACTTTCTTTGACAAAGGAGCTAAAAATATACGATGGAGAAATAGCAGCCTCTTCAACAAAAACTGCTGGGAAAACTGGTTAGCAGTCTGCAAAAAACTGAAACTAGATCCATGTGTTTCACCCTATACCAAGTTTAACTGAAAATGGATCAAGGATCTTAATATCAGACCCAAACTCTTAAGTTGATGCAAGAAAGAGTAGGAAATACTCTGGAGTTAGTAGGTATAGGTAAGAACTTTCTCAATGAAACCCCAGCAGCACAGCAACTAAGAGATAGCATAGATAAGTGGGACTTCATACAACTAAAAAGCTACAGCTCCTCAAAAGAAATGGTCTGTAAACTGAAGAGAACACCCACAGAGTGGGTGAAAATATTTGCCAACTATACATCAGACAAAGGACTGATAACCAGAATATAGGGAACTTAAAAAACTAAATTCTCCTAAGACTAATGAACCAATAAAGAAATGGGCAAGTGAACTATACAGAACTTTCTCAAAAGAAGATATTCAAATGGCCAAAAACACATGAAAAAAATGCTCTCCATCTCTAGCAATAAAGGAAATGCAAATTAAAACCACACTAAGATTCCACCTCACCCCTGTTAGAATAGCCATCATTAGCAACCCCACCAACAACAGGTGTTGGCGAGGATGCGGGGAAAAAGGAACCCTCTTACACTGTTGGTGGGAATGTAGACTAGTACAACCACTCTGGAAAAAAAATTTGGAGGCTACTTAAAAAGCTGGACATGATCTACCATTTGATCCAGCAATACCACTCTTGGGGATATACCCAAAAGACTGTTACTCCAGAGGCACCTGCACACCATGTTTATTGCGGCACTATTCACAATAGCCAAGTTATGGAAACAGCCAAGATGCCCCAGCACTGACGAATGGATTAAGAAAATGTGGTATCTATACACAATGGAATTTTATGCAGCCATGAAGAAGAACGAAATGTTATCATTCGCTGGTAAATGGATGGAATTGGAGAACATCATTCTGAGTGAGGTTAGCCTGGCCCAAAAGACCAAAATCGTATGTTCTCCCTCATATGTGGACATTAGATCAAGGGCAAACACAACAAGGGATTGGACTATGAGCACATGATAAAAGCGAGAGCACACAAGGGAGGGGTGAGGATAGGTAAGACACCTAAAAAACTAGCTAGCATTTGTTGCCCTTAACGCAGAGAAACTAAAGCAGATACCTTAAAGCAACTGAGGCCAATAGGAAAAGGGGAACAGGTACTAGAGAAAAGGTTAGATCAAAAAGAATTAACCTAGAAGGTAATACCCACACACAGGAAATCAATGTGAGTCAATGCCCTGTATAGCTATCCTTATCTCAACCAGCAAAACCCCTTGTTCCTTCCTATTATTGCTTATACTCTCTCTACAACAAAATTAGAAATAAGGGCAAAATAGTTTCTGCTGGGTATTGAGGGGCAGGAAGAGGGAGGGGGCGGAGTGGGTGGTAAGGGGGGGGGTGGGGGCAGGGGGAGAAATGAACCAAGCCTTGTATGCACATATGAATAATAAAAGAAAAATGAAAAAAAAAAAGAAAAGCTAAGGGAAAACATGGGACAGTGTGAGTCTAGGAAAGAGGTTTTAAAAATAGTGGAGCAAGGTTTTAAAGAAGACTTTAGAATTGTAAAGGAGTAAGGCCTTAAAGAATAAAGATAGAGAAAAGAAGCAGAGTAAAGTTAAGAGATTAATAAAGATAAGAGGCAATTAGGCATTTGTGCATCTCCATCCGAGCACTCAACACACCTGGCCCCAACTTTCTGTCTGTCTATCCTGTGTCCTTTCTGCATGTCCCGTCACTGCCCAGCTAGCCCCCATTAGGTTCAGTAATAACAAGGGAGCGAGGAAAAAGCTCGTTTCATTGGCCCAAGGTCTTCATCATAACTGTGCTCCATGGAGGGAGTGCTACATGCAGTCAGGGCCAAACCAAATCTCCATGGTGAGAAGGAGAAACAGACATGAACATGGCTGGGGATGTAGCTCTGTGGTAGAGCACTTGCTTGGTTTGTGTGAGGCCCTCCCTGGATTTCATAACCAGCACTTGGAAAAAAAACAAAAACAAAACAACAGACAAACATGAGCATGGGAAACTGTGGGCCTTCAGAAGTCAGATAAGATCTCCTTGGACAACAAACCTTTCCCAAGTCTGTTTGTATCAAACATGGCCTAACATCTGGCTGAAGTTCAGCAGGTGTATCCTGTAGTGTTCCAAGATCCCCTCAAGCCTGGACTTGGGGGATTCAAGATCTTTGCACTTCTTTGCTCCATTTCTCTGAAAAGGAGTTCTTTCCACAGAAAAGATCTGTGCAGGCCCTAAAATCCCTTGGGTTTCTTTTGTTGCATCATTGAGTGTTGAATCCGGGCAGGTAGTCTGTAGTCTCTTGGAAAGAAGAAGAAATCCCTGAGGAAGAAAGTGAGATGGTGGCAAATGCTGGCTTTCCCAGAAAGGTGAGAAGTAAAGGAAACTCCCGGTGGTTCAAACTAACATTCAACTGTATGTTACTTCCTCCTAAGTGGAGGAAGTTCAGAGTTGATCAAAACCACAGATGAAGGACCTTCCACAGTTTACAATTTAGTTTTCTGTGTTGGTGTTGAACCCCACTGGCTGCAACATTTTTGCAATGGTAGTCCGCCGCCTCTACCATGCACTGTTTTTTTGTGCCTCTTGAAATCTCAGAAATAATACTGTCCTCTGTCCAGAGGGTTCTCAGGCAGAGCCTTGTCCAAGGGGATAGAAGACAAATGCGGTGTACTTAAGAAATTTGCAGGGATGCCTGGTTTCTCCAGGACTCCAGGGTGTGGAGTAAGTCCTAGAAATGTGTCTTTCAGCAGCTCTTGCACACCTGAATTAGGTTCTTGGTGGAACGAGACTAGAATTACCATCCTTCAAGCACTGAGAATGTTCCATGTCCTGCACTGGGCACCTGACAGGCAACTCCTCACTTAATCCTCATGGCTCTAGAGACAAGTTTTAAGTTTTATTGTTCTTTTTTGCCAGGGAGGAAACTGAGTTTGCAGCTATTCAGTTTTTACCAAAGGTTCATAGATTCCACAGGTTACCTTATAACTGGTGCTTAGAAACTGCTTTTGCTAGAAAGCACTGACTGCTCACTTGGGCCCACATGTTGCAACTAAAAGGAGAAAAGCTGGCATCCCTGCTTCCATTTTGTCTTAAAACTTTGGGTCAGGCTCCTGCTTAATTCTGCATGTGTACATGTTAGTCACTCAAGAAGTGTCTGTCTAAAAACTGGTAAAACCTAACTAATGTCATCCCACTCAAGACTAAAGGCACAAAAATAAGAATACCTTCAGCTTCCCCCAAAAAGGATCAGATCCCCAAAAAAGGGTATGTGAAAGTCTACAGTCATTGTGCTAAATAAACATGCAGTCACCATGGAATCCAGGAATAGCAGACAAGTCACCCCATGATGAGATAACCTTCCCCCATCAGGAGCAATCATCTCATAGGATAAGCAATAAGGACTTATTCAGGCCATCCTGTAGAATGAGAAGGGGTTATGATCAACCACACCACACTTTGCCTAACTGCTAATTATGCACACTTTCTCCCCATCCCAATTCTTCTTCTATTTAAACCTGAGGTTCATGTTGGTACCCTGAAGATGGACGGAAGTGCTTACTCTCCCTCTTTTGGCACGTGGCTGCCACATTAAATAAATCTCCTTTCACTGCTCTTTACTACTACTCCTATCGTTAACTGGCGTGTTGAAGTGAACAGCCACACGTGACATTTTGAACCCCCAGAGTTGGGCCTCTGACCTATGACTCCATTCACATCCTGACCTCAAGGAATGCAAAGGACTTTCATTAATGTAGTCTAGAACAAGTGATCCAAGAGTGTGAGCAAAGTGAGAGCCTCAGGGCCAATATAGTCCTAGTCTCAGAAGCTACAAACTATCCATCTGTCACACTAGATTCATTAGAAGCAGGTTGCTAAATCCAATCCATAGTCAAGGGATGGGATATTAGCTTTCACCTTTGAAAAGTGGAACCTTAAAGAATTTATGGGCACATTTTTAAAGCACCACTGCTTATTTGTACCAAAGGTTGGCCCTGAATGTCCATGTGAACTGCCATCCACATTCTTGGTTCTGGCTGCAAGGGCTGAGCATTCTTTAAGAGAAGGAACCATATTTTGGCTACCCTGGGAGCCATAGAATCAAGCTCAGGTCTTGTCACATAGTAGGTAATCAATAAATGGTTGAGACATAAAATGGTTAGTTAACAAGTTGGAAGTATGAAATGGGTAGATTCCATAGGTTATCGTAACAGTGAGTTCTAACCATGTCCAGGCAACCTGGAGTCATGCAGTTTCACCTACTGACTAGCTGAGGCGGCTCGGGCAAGTCATTTGCCTTGGAAGCCCCTAGGCTTTGGAGGAGGATCCCTTTGAGATCTAAGTAGCTGTGGTTAAGAAAGAAAGTATGAAAAGGCTTGGCAGCATCTGCAGACATCAAAAACGCAGAACATCTCCCTCGCCTTGGAACACTTGCTTTCTGACTGAGGTCTCCTCTTCTCTTTGCAGATTGCACTGCTCCCCAACAATGCTGCTGAACTGGGCAAGTATGTCACTGGGAACAAAGTGTTGGCCTCAAACGCCTACCTTCCAGGCCCTCCCGGCCTTCCTGGAGGCCAGGGCCCACCCGGTGAGTGTGGAGAAGGACCCAGAAAGCTGGTAGAGTCACCCTACATTCCGTGGGGCTGGGTGATTGTCTCCAGCTTCTGTCATGAGAAGTGAAGCAGTTTTCTGGGGAGCTGCCCCACACAGAGCCTTGCGGAATTGAGTCTCCCAGCCTAAAAACCTGCATAACCCATAGCACTTTGAGAGAAAAAGGTGATCGTCCTGGGGTTTGATCAGATTCCTAAAGGTTGTTTTAAGTTAGACGCACAATGAAAATTATTTCTTAACTTCATTCTGGAGAAAACTTAACATACAAAACCAGAATGGTATAATCAATTACTCTGTTTTACCCACTCATGACTGGCCTTTTTTCTACTTTTCCTCAATTCTCTTTCTACCTTCCCTTATTATTTAACATACTTACATTTATACTTATTGTCATACCTATCTACATATTCCTTTAAAAGTGACGTTATTGAAGTTTGTTTTATATAATGAAATGGACCTTTTTAAGTTATTATTTGAATTTTGACAAGTGTATACCCCTATATAACCAACCCCCACATCCATATCAAGATATAGGACATTGGTATCATCCAGAAAGTCCCCTTGTGCTATTTTCAGTCAGTGTGCTCCTCATCCCCAGCTGTAGGTATCCATCAGTCTGCTCTCCTTCACTATGGTTTTGCCTATCCTAGGATTGCATGTCCGTGCAATCTTTTAGTTTGCCTTCTTTCCATCTGACTTCTTCCCCTCAGAATGTAGTTTTGGAGATTTTCCTTTATTAACTACATTAAAGTTCCCAAATGTCCTATCATTTCATCAGGAAATATAAATGAGAACCTTAAAAAATAATTACGAGGCATTTTATGTTTTATTATGAGCCCCTCCGTAGGCAGATAGATCAATAGTTTATTTTCACATGAGTGCTAGCTAATATTCTAAACCGTTGACAGTCTTATCCCAGGTTAGCATAGCTTAGCACACTAGGTGTTGCGAATGGCATCCTGACATTCCAACGGGGAAGGCAAGTCACATACAGCGAATGCAAACAGAATAGAAGAGGGTGTGCGTGCCTACAAGTAGGTGTGCAGATGCTTCCTGTTGTGACAGGGACAGATTATTGTAGCCTGCAGTGATGGGGTTTGATGTGGAGATAGAAGACTGGTAGAATTTGGCCAAGCAGGAAGGGCATTGCAAACTTCAGATGGAAGGGTCAGCAAGGACCAAAGCTCAGAGTTCTTCCAAAGGATTCATATGTTTTTTACCTACTTATATCTTAATCTTCTGACTTTCATCAGATACAGGTGGCCTGGGGCTCAGTCTGTACGAAAAGAACTGGCCTAGGATTTAGGTTCATCCTTGGGTTCATTCCCTCCGCCTAAGTTTCTGTGGTCATGGCGGAGTTTTCTTCAGCAAATGCCTCACACGGGCATCCCTCGTGTTGTTTCTAAAATCGAGGTCTGTCCTTACAAACTGGATCCTAGCACAGTGTCCCCCACCCTTCTATAAGAAAAGGCTCTTCTTTGCTTCTCAAGAGAGAATTCATATTCAGGCCAGTCTGCACATTGCTAGAACAAGGACAACTGTAGGAGTAGGAAAGTCATTGGCTGCCTGGTTTATTTCTGTTGTGTTGTTCTTAAGACTTGTTTGGTTTTTGAGATAAGGTCTCACTATGTAGCTGAAGCTGGCCTTGGCTTTGTGGATCCTCCTGCCTCACCCTCCCAACTGCTGAGATTACGGGCAAGCACCATCATGCTAGCTGTTTTCTTGATGAATAACTGCTAGCTTTCCTTCCAATTCTACCATCCAGTTTCTTACTTGGTTTGAGCTGTCCAGGGTCCTTGATAGAGCAGAGAAATCGAGGATGGATGAGCTTTTGCAATGCACCCTTTCATGAAGAATTCTCACTCCTTCTTTCTAGTGTTGTAATGCCATCCACTGAGATGTATTAGGAAAGTTAGGAAGCTAATAGAGTTTCTTTCACTTTTAAAAAAACCTTCAGTCCAAAGACTGATGAATCACAGACTGGAACAACAATATAGGAAACTGGCCAGGTGTGGGGGGTGCTGCTGCTGCTCTCTGGTCCTCACTGTTCTATACAAGGTGCTTCTGTTGCATATCAAGCCCTACACAGAAAGCACTTGACATACAGTGATCTCTGAAATTCACTGATTATGTAAATGCAGATAACATGGTATCTCTAGCCTGTCATGCTATTGGAGGGAGAACAGCATAGAAGGGGTTTGGCCCCCTTCACAGGTACATCTTTCAGGATGTACCTGCAACAAGTATTAAGATTTGGAGCACAAAACATGTTTGAATAGAGCATCAACTGCCTTCAGCTTTGCCTGGATTATTCCTTGAACTAGAAAAGACTTCCCAAAATATGAAAAATGTGAGACCCTTGTTTCTTTGTTTTGTGTTTTATCCTAGAGCCTGAAAGTTATTCCATGCTGTCACTGACAAATAAGGGTTAGTTATGAACAAAAAAAATAGTACATGTTTGAAAGAGCTAATTCTAAGAAAAAGGTATAACACAGAAATCAACCCGGTCATTTAACAAGAAATCTGTACTAAGCAGCCCTATTATGTACCTGAGACTCTCTGAGAGTATACAGATGAATAAGACACAGCCCAGGCCGTCACAGAGCTCACAGTCTAACATGATTTGAAATTCAGTGTTCTTCCACACGCAGAATAATCCTTACTTTACACCATATACAAAAACCAACTCAAAATGGGTTAAAGACCTAAATACGAAACTACTAAACTCTGAGAACAAAACATAGAAGAAAGCGTCATGTGGCATTGGATTTGGCAATGACTTCTAGGACACATCCCCAATAAAACACACACAAACAGAAATAGACAAGAAAATGAGATTGCCTCAAACTTAAAAACTTCTTTGTATAAAGGAAACATTTAAGAAGTAAAAAGGCAACCTACAGAATGGGAGAATATATTTGCAATCATTTATCTGATAAGGGGTTAATACCCAGAATATATAAAGAATTATCATAATTCAGCAACAACAACAAAAATCAAATAACCTTATTAAAAGATAGACAAAGGCCTTGAAAAGACATGACTCCAAAGAAGGCGCACAAGTGGCTAACAAACATACTAAAAGTACTAGATATCCACTAATTGTTAGAAGATTGCAAACAAAAACTACAGTGAGATATCACCTCACCTCCATTAGGATGCTACTATCAAAAAAAGAAAGAAAGTAAGTATTGGAAAGCATGTGGAAAATTGGAGCCCTTGTGTATTATTAGTGGGAATGGAAAACAGTATGGAGACTCCTCAAAAAATTTAAAAACTAGAATTGCCACATGATCCAGCAATCTGAGTATATGGAGTATACTTCTGACTATATCCCCAAAAGAACTGAAAACAAGATCTTGAAGAGGCATTCACAAATCAGTGTGCCTACCAGCACTCTTTACAATAGCCAAGAGGTAGAAACAACCCACATACCCTTTGATGGATGAGTAAAAAAGCAAAATGTGGTATATACACACCATGAAATATTGTTCAGTCTTAAAAAAAGGAGGAAATTCTGACACATGATGCATAGCTCAGCCTTGAGGACATAAGGCTAAGTGAAATGAAGCTGGTTTTAAAAAATGACATGCTGTATGATTATACTTGTATGAGATATCTGAATTAGTCAAATTCATAGAAACAAAAAGGGAAACAGTGCTTGCCAGAGGCTGAATGGACAGGAAAGGAGAGGAGCTGTTCAGTGGGCATAGAGTTTCAGTTTTATATGGTAAAAAAGTTCTAGAGCTGTTGTACAACAATGTGAATGTATGTAACACTACTGAACTATACATTTAAAAGTAGTTAAGATGGTGAATTTTGTGTTACATATTTTCTACCACATTTCTTTTTTTTTTCGCAGTACTGGGGTTTGAACTCAGGGCTTATACCTTGAGTCACTCTGCCAGCCCTTTTTTGTGATGAGTTATTTTGAGATAGGGTCTTGTGAACTATTTGCCTGGGCTGGCTTCCAACTGTGATCCTCCTGATCTCTGCCTCCTGAGCAGCTAGGATTATAGGCCTGAGCCACTAGTGCCTGGCACCACCACATTTTTTTAAAGAAATGCTTTCAGATTGCCAAATCCCTTTTTCCTCATTCTCCCTTGGTGATATTCAAGAACAGCGATGAGCACACTGATGTCTACATCAGAGTAAAACACCAGCTCACACGGCCATAATCCCTGAGGAGCCAGTGTGGCATTCCACAGGGCCCATACGTTGTGACAGGCATGCTGTATCCCCCAGAGAAGTGGGGGATGTCCCAACCTTCATCACAAGCCCAGACCAGTGTGGCTGTTTGTGACTCCCTATGTCTGTAAAGGCAGGCAAGGTTGATAGCTCTCTTCCCCATCAACCAATCACATCGTAGTTCTAAAATCTGTCACTCACGCAGTTGTCAAGCAGCACAAATTGTCAAGCAGTCCTTGTTCTTGAATTCACGCATTCCCAATGCTGTATTGATTTAGGCATCCAGTTAGAATTTGAAAACAAAAAACAAAATCCTTCAACATGTACAAAGTTGACACAGATGAATGAAGAGGGCTGTGTGTGAGCAGTAGAGAGCAAGAAGACCTGAATTTAAGCAGTGCACAGATGCCATCTGAAGAGGCAGCCACCAAACCCCAGGCATTTGTGCCAATGGCAGAATTGTGGTCCAGGTTTTAGTTCTTCCTATTTTCAGACTGAAGCCAGAAACCTAAATTTTTGTAGGAAGTTCTCCAGTTTTAAAATACTGAGAGAACTTGAAGGTAATAGTTACATATACAGAACACATACACGTGTTCTGTATACACGTGTTCTGAGTTGGGCTATAAATAGTATAATGGTATTTGTTGAATTAAGCAGTTAATTCTCAAGAGAAATGATGTTAAGATATTTTTGAAGATACATGGTCTAAAATGGTCAAATAGGGATGGAGGCAAAGCAGAAAAGCAGTGTAGCCTAGGTGGTGCACTGAGAGTTGATGAGGTGGGAGGTGATGGTAGAAAAAGGTGCCTAGAAAGAAGACAAGAATGAGCTAGTGTAGGATGATGAGTTTGAACTTAATGCAAAGGGGGAAACTATTGTAGAGTTTTCTTCTCCTCAGAAATCAGTGACAGCCTGTTTGATATAGCCCACCCTTTTTTTTTTGTGTGGTGTTGGGATTTGAACTCGTGGCTTATTTTGCTTTTGCTTCTTCCACATGCCTCAAAAAAATTTTTATTGCTGTATATCCTTTGTAGAGGAACAGTGGAGACCAAGGTGCATGGTGATTACTCTTTAATAATACCCTTTTCTTTTGTACCTTTTCTTTTGTCAGTCCTCTAATGAGTACCCTTTTCTTTTGTCAGTCCTCTAATGGAGTTGAGTCAACTTAATGAATAGTTGTTCTGGGATTGGGTTTTGTTGTCACTGCTTACTTCAGTGCCTTGCAGTCTTCAAATTTTCAACTTCTTCCAATGGTAGAGTTCCATTCCATTATGCTTAGTGAGGTCCTAGGATACCAATGGGTTTTCTCTGTTTGTACTACACTCTTAGCTTTCAGCAGCTCCTATTCACCCATCCACATGCTTGCCTTTCCCTCAGTATTGCTTAATATTCCATGCTAGAGCTGTGAAAGAGAACAGCTGCCATCCTAAACTGGGCCTGTGCATCTTGGCCTGAAGCATCTTGCCCCATGCTCATTCCCAGCAAATTTTGGCAGGCCAGCATTTCCTACCCCTCCCTCAGAAACAGTGGGTATTTATCTGGAGTATTTAGGAGCGTTTGCTCCCCACCTCAGTAGCTTGAGGTTTTGCACCAAAGGGTTAAAAGTAGGAAAGTTACACAGTTAAGAAATATTCATGTAAACGCAAGAAGAATCAGGAGTGAACAAGTTTGGCAGGAGGTAGGACACTATCTATGAGGCAAGAGTTAAGGCAAATGTAAGAAAGGCACAGACCTAACAGATGTTTTAGTACTTACTATGCATGTGGTACTATGCTAAGTGGTGTATGTGTATACCTAAAATCTCATTTGATACACATGTTCTAATGGGAAGATTTTTATCAGCCCAGCTTTAGAGATGAAGAACTAAGGTTCAAAGAGCTTAAGCGACCCATTGGGGACTTATCCCCTCTCTGATGCTAGAACTTGTAGTCTAAACCACTAACCACTCTTCAGGTGTGGGAGTTACTACCCCACCATGACAGCAGAATAGAAAGGCTTAGAGAATTAATGAGCAACATTACATGCAGATGTAGATGGGTGGGAGTATAGATGGGTGGGAGCTGGTCACCCACTTCAAGGAGGTTGTGGAAACAGGAAATACTATTGGAAGACTCTCAAGTTTCTGGCTTGAGTGGATGGGTAACTGGTGGTCCATGAAAGGAGAGGAAGATGGAGAAGTCACTTTTGGTCATGGTGAGTTGAAAATTCCCATGGAGCACATCTGTGGAGCTGTCAGAGGCATAGGGCAGAGGCCATGGGAAATGCCTGCAGGGCTCCTGGACGCTCTCATCAGCCAGAGTCCCTTGTGCTTCTAGTGGTCCATATGCTAATGAGGTGTTCTTTGATCACAGGTTCACCGGGACCCAAGGGGAGCCCAGGCTTCCCCGGTATGCCAGGTCCTCCTGGGCAGCCTGGCCCACGGGGCTCAATGGGACCCATGGGACCTTCTCCTGACCTGTCCCACATTAAGCAAGGCCGGAGGGGCCCTGTGGTCAGTATCTTATCAGAGATCCTCTTACTGTTGTTGGAGAGAGAGTGTTCTTGACTCATCCTTTTTCCTTCTGCTAAACCAGATCCTTGTGTCTTATAGGGTCCACCAGGGGCACCAGGAAGAGATGGCTCTAAGGTAAGTCTTAGCAATGGTCCTTACAAGCTGAAAGCCCCCCAGTTTCCACTCACAGCACAGATATCCAGTAAAGCTTGACAATCATGCTTTACCTGCTCATATTGCATGTGGCAAAACGAAACACAGACACACAAAAAAACAAAATATCCAAAACTCAAAATGTTCCAAAATCCTAAAATTTTAGAGCACTGGTGTAAGAACCCCCAAATTTTGGATTTTAATCTGGGAATCATGGTGCATGCCTGTAATCCCAGTTCTCAGGAAGCTGAGGCAGGAGAATCTCAAGTTCATGTCCAGGCTGTGTTACCTAGCAAGACCCTGTCTCAAGAAAAAAAAAATTCTTATTTGAAACATTTCAGATTTCACATCTGGAGACTGGGAATGCTCAAGTAGTAAGCTATTTTAAAATATTCTTAAAGTATGAAACCAACTCTGATAGCAAAAGCAGTCACCAACATCACCCCTGGGAAAAATGACCCCTATAATTTTTAAATTAAACTCTGTTGTGATATTTGCATGGGTTTTTCTCATTAGCCTGTGTTGTTTGGGAGGATGGTTTTCTGTGTGTTCTCATTTCTTTAAAGTGTTTAAGTCAAGAACAGAAGTTCCATTCTATGCAAGTCGTGGTTTGTTTCTGAGTCAACTGCTTCTAGTCTCATGAAGTAGTTGGCATGCATTACTTTAAAGTTTCTGTTTATTTCACACACTGCCTGGAAATACAAGTATTCTCTTGTCAGATCTGGTTTAAAAACATACAGTTTTGGGGGAACTTGCCAGAGAGACACTTGACCCAAGCCATTCTGTCAAATAAATGGTCTCATAAGGACCAGCTTCAATGCCACATTCGTTTCCTATTGAAAATGCTTGCTTTACAACTGAGGCCAGTAGGAAAAGGGGACCAGGAACTAGAGAAAAGGTTAGATCAAGAAGAATTAACCTAGAAGGTAACACACACACACAAGAAATTAATGTGAGTCAACTCCCTATATAGCTATCCTTATCTCAACCAGCAAAAACCCTTGTTCCTTCCTATTATTGCTTATACTCTCTCTACAACAAAATTAGAGATAAGGGCAAAATAGTTTCTGCTGGGTATTGAGGGGGTGAGGGGGAGAAGGAGGGGGTGGAGTGGGTGGTAAGGGAGGGGGTGGGGGCAGGGGGGAGAAATGACCCAAGCATTGTATGCACGTATGAATAATAAAACAATAAAAATTAAAAGAAAAGAAAAGAAAATGCTTGCTTTATGCTGGAAGATGCTGACAGATGAGTGTCTACACAGAGACTGGTGATAACATCCATGTGCTCCAAATGAACCCTGGCCTTTCTGTTTGTAGGGGGAGAGAGGAGCACCTGGGCCCAGAGGGTCTCCAGTAAGTGGCACTGTCTGTCCTGCTTCCCCAGTGGGAATGGTCTCAGGGGTATAGCTTCCATCCCATAACAGTGCACAAGTGGGTCTTAGTAGCAGAAAGCTGCCCTTCCCAGCTGTCACTCAGCCTGAGCAGAGCTCTGTGGTTAGGAAGAGTCACGGAAGACTTTATAGCAGCTGGTTTGAATTTTTTTTTTAATTTATTTTCTGCTGTTACTTTTTCCTTTATCTTGGCTAAACTTTCTGTGAGATATCTGTTCTTCAATCCAGTCTGTTTCCAAGCATATCATAGAATATCTGAAAAGACAAGAATAGAAGTTGATATGTTGTCCGAACTTGGAACACTGGAGAACTTAGCTACTGCTACAGCCCTAGCAGCCAAATAACCGTTCCCCTCCCCAAAGACCAGACATCCAGTGCTCCTTGAGACTCAAGAAGAAAATAGCTGCATATACTTATAGTGTCTGGGAGGTTAAAAATGAACATTAGTAATATCCAAAGGCATAGCAAATGCAAGCTACCCCACTTCTTCGAAAGGAATTTGGTGTCATTTCTGAAGAAAGACCAAGAGCTGTTGCCACAGAGGTAGGAGGTTGGGTTCCCCTCTCAGCTCCTCCCTGTTAGCTTTGCGATCACTGGCGTGTCACATAGCATCTCTGGGCATTCATTTCCTCACCTGTGCAGTGCTGACAGTGGAGTCAGATCTCCCCCACGGTGGGTAGTTACTACGAGGGTCAAGCAACATCAGTCACTGCACCTGCGTGCTTTGCAGTATAAGCTGCTGCTTCTCAGATCATAGCTGCTACCACATCACCCTTGGGGGATTGATAATGTTTTTACCTCTAAGCTTTTAACAGGCCCAGAATATGCATGCTTATGCATTATTTTACACTGCCCCACCACAGCACATGGAAATTAAAGCTTAATAAACACTAAATAGTGATAAAAGATTCCCAATAAACAGAAAATTTAGGAAGCTTTTGTTGAACCTTTCCTAGTCAACGAGGAATCGGTGTCTTCACAACATCCTCTCAGCTTCATTTAGTTTGCAGTTATGGCCAGACATCTTATAAACATCTTAGTAATTTCAGTTTTAAGGAATAGATAACATTTTGAGCTTTTAGTATGCTATAAGATGCTATAATATATAATATATAAGTATGCTATAATATTATGTGTATTAAGTCATTTAAACGTCCACCTGTGAATCCTATGACAATCTGGATTGAAGTTGGGACTATAACTGTCCCCATTTCACAGGTGGGAACACTGAAACGCAAACCAAGAAATTTGCCCTTGACCACACAGCTCGCAAGTGGCAGAGCTTGGATCAACAGAACTCCAGCTTTTTAGCCACTACTCTGCCACATTCGCAAGCAACTTCATCATTCTTGGGAGCATTACCTCATATTCTTTCATCTATCAGATTTGATACAGCATGGAGTTAGGAGGGAGGAGAGGTGAATATGTCAGTACTGCTCACATGAGATGGGGGTGGTTTAGGACAATCTCGAGGGTCCCAGGCCGCCATGGTTGAGCTATGCTTACTCTATTTGGGGCAGAGATTTATCCAGAAAGTAGTTGTCAACAGGACTAACAGATGGTGGAACCAGGGTAGTCAGTGCTGCTGAGGGGCTGTGTCTGCTGTGAATCACACCTTTGATTTTTCCCACGTGCACAGGGACCCCCAGGTTCTTTTGACTTCCTGCTCCTCATGCTGGCTGACATCCGCAATGACATTGCTGAGCTGCAGGAAAAGGTGTTTGGGCACCGGACTCACTCTTCAGCAGAGGAGTTCCTTTACCTCAGGAATTTTCCAGCTACCCAGAGACCATGGACTTCGGCTCTGGAGATGACTACCAGAAAAGAACTGAGGCAAGAGACGTGGGAACTCCCAGAGACTTTTATCCATAATACATCACACGTGTTCATGCCAGTGGAAGAGAGTGCCTTCACCTGCAGTTCAAGCATCTAAAGAAAAAGTCACTGGAGACCTAAAGGATACATTTTTGTTGTCTTCGCTCTTTTCCTGCCTTTTCCCTCATCTTCTTCCAACATTAGTTCCCAAGTGTCCCTCTATCCCTGCATGAGACAAGGAAGCTGTGATGGATTGACACGACATTCATGTTGTTGGGTGGTCTATATTGGGACTTTTCTTTAACATCCTGTTCTTTCAGAAACTGCTGGATTTCTGAATTAACTACTCTCACCATGTCTTAAAATTGGGCAGAATACCACAACAGAGGGAAAGAGCAAGGTGAACGTTTAGAAAATGTTCTGAAAAAAAAAATGTGTTCATCCAGGGATAGTGGCTTACTCACTCCTGTAATCCTACCTATTCAGGAGGCAGAGATCAGGAGGCTCTTGGTTTGAGGTCAGCCCAGGCAAAAAGTTAGCAAGTCCCCATCTCAATCAGTAAAAGCTGAGTGTGGTGGCATGCACCTGTCATCCTCGCTACACTGGAAGCATAAATAGAAGGATCATAGTCCAGGCTAGGCTGGGCAAAACATGAGATCCTATCCCAAAACTAACTGAAGCAAAAAGGGCTGGGGATGTGACTCAAGTGGTAGAGCACTTGCCTAACAAGCATAAGGCCGAGTACCACAAAAAAAAAAAAAATGTGCTCAAAATAGACTAGGTTATTCCTCCTCTGGTATCAAAATTAGGGCTCTTCAATTAAAAGGGTGTGGGAAGGAAGAACATGTAGATTTACTTTGGTGGGTAATTCTTCTTTCTTGTCAGTCTAATGGATTTTAACTCATCCTGCTCTCCACCATTTCCCAAAGGAGAGAATTAAGAAGTGAAGATTAGGGGAGATAGAGAAAAATTCTATTCATATATTTATTGTTAGATAGGTTGCAACATTTTAAAATTCAAATATGACAATTAAGGATTTGTGCCACTAATCTGTAAAAATCATACTCAAAGAAGACAGCGACTCTGGCTATAGGAACAAATCTTTTCCAAAGACAGTAAGGGGCTGAAGTGCCACATTGCACATTAGAACAATGGGTTCACCAGGACATTTAAAAGCTATTTGGTCTAAGACTGGTCCTGCTCCCTAAGTCACAGATTAACTGTTAAATAAGGTGACTGACCCATAGGAAGTGGTGCCGAATTCCCTGGTTCTGACCAGGTTCCCAAAGATGCCCGTTACACCATGATCCAGGCTGAACCAATGCACAGCAGGGCTCTAGGCAGGAAGGAGACTGCTGGCCCCAGCTGTTGGCAAACTGGACAGAGAAGATTGGTCAGGGACTCCACTGAAACCAAATCAGCAGAGAAGGTAAATTTGTTCTCCCTGGGCATTAGAAGTCCTTGTCTGGAGCCAGCCAAGCTTGCCAGCATACTGAGAATAATGCACTGTTGAGAGTTCCCTTTGATAGGGAAAGGGAAAAAAATTATTATCCTTGCTTGGCAGAAATTTTCTTCCCACTACTCCTTTTTCCTAAACTTCATCCAAATCCAAGTTCTTTCAGGCCTTCTCCTAAATTTCTTTCCTCAGCAAGGTGGAAAGCAATTTAGAAAGGCATGCTTCCCAAACTCTCACGGAGAGTTTGGAGTTACCGCATTTTTGCAGAGCACTTCTGGGTCCCAAAGAGAAGTGTATTCCCAACAAGGTCTTCCTGGACTCGCAGACACCAGGACCAGCAGGAGGACTGCTTGCATCTTTGGTTTCAGTGGGGGAAGCTTACAGGTTTCTGAAGGTCCACTTTCTCTTGGGACGTAAAGGATGGCTTCATATCTACCTAACCTGGCCAACTTCAGCTTGTGTTAAGCCTCACAAGGGATCATTCTCACACATCTGCCCACACCAGGATCTTCCATTTCCCATCTGCAATGTTCCCTCATATTTCCTAGACTTTTCTATTTGGCTTTTTCACATTTCCTCTTAACATACATCATTTACCTACCCTACCACAACAGCTTGTTGGAACAAACCCAGTTGTTAAGTTTGTATGCCACCTCTCAGTACTCTTGCTGAAGACTGAGCAGAGGAGCTCTGTCTGCAAAGCTCAAGTGGCCCCAGCCTTCCTTCCTTCCTTTCCATCCTGTTAGAAATGCAGTCTCAAGTCCCCTATTTCTTACTCATGACGAATCTCCAGTGACTGTCCACCAGCATTTTCTAGGTAAAGACAAACACATTTGCAGTGTTTGCTTTCTGTCATCTCTTCTCCCCACCCTTCTTCAGTCTCTGCAGAACCTGTCTTTCATCACAGAGGGGCTCGCCAGCCAACCACGGGTTCATGAAGGGATGGATGAACAGCTGTTGAGTCCTACCTGGAATCTATTTAATGTCTGCCTATTTGTGGAATGCAATATTTAAAGGGTGTGGATGGATGAATGTTCAAAAGAAAACTATGTGCAGGCTCTATGAGAGATGATTTGGACCATCTTTATTTTTTTAATGAGGAATTTTATTACCTTTGGTTTTGTTTGACAGTGAATGGTGTTTAGAAATATAATCTTTATTGTCAAATGCTGATGAATGCAAGCAAACTTCATGTTTGGCCAGAGTCCAGGATAATATTTTTTTAATGAACTGAATGTCATAATATCTAGGATTCATGATACTACTCTAGATAACTATCTCCAGAAAAACACACAATAGCCAACATTTTATAATCTCAATCTGCTGGACTAGAGTAATTTAGAAAATCATTATTAACCCTCAGCTTTTCAAAACTTGTACTACCACAAGACTAAATAAGTACTCTCTTTGCCCAAATTATATTTTCCAAAGCTATCATAAGGCATCGTTATTTCTAATGTATCTTTTAGTTATGGATAGAGAAATCAAAACTTTATTACCTAAATGGCGCTTTTGCTCAAAACAAAATGGAAAAGTTTTTGTGGGTTAAAATTTGCAGATTTACGAAGTCACTTCATGTTTTATAGGGTGGAAAAAGACCTCAGTATACCTCCTCAAGTCTTTAGTAGAAATGTTGAGTTCAATGTTTTGCATCACCGTCACTAGGACGTGGTTATAAATGGCCTCTGTTTTTTGCAAAGCAGTGGGAATAAAAAGCTGTTGAAAACAGTATAAGGAGGGCGGGCACTTTTAGTTTGGGGAAGTCCCTTTCCCTTCCCAGTTCTAGAGGGAGAATTCATCATCTTCCTGTGTCAAAAAGGAGTGGGGGCACAAAGAGGATGCTTCCTTTTCTTGCTTCCAGTATGGCTCCCAGCACCAGCCACAGAACTGATCAAAGTCATTTCCACTGTGTAGACTCAGATGTGCCCATGGCCTAACATGTAAATAACAAACACTCATTGCCGTTGGGAGGAAGGGAAGAGCACCCTGGTGGGTCATGTTCACTTTCCAAGGTTCAGAACCACTGATGGCATTAGGATGGTCACTCCCAGGCATGCAGAGGGCACCCTCCTCCATGACCAGGCACCCTGGGTTTTCAGACAGCAACTCCCCATTCTATTCTGGGTGTCACTCCCCCACTCCTATCCCAGCTGCTCTGCAGAGACAGCTGCAGCAGCTTCGTGCTGCAAACTTATCTTCTGGGCAGCTTTCCTGAAAGGGAAAGTTATTTGCTTGAATCGAGGCCAAACAATTAGTAGAATAGAACCATCTAAAGTGATTAATCATGAATTTGAGAATCTAGATGAAATGTTTCCTGGCACAGTGCAGCATATATGTTTCACAACAAATCAAAAAATAATTTTCCATTTTGAAAAACAGCCCCAGTGACTGTAATTGTTAAAATCATGAGCTTTGAATACCCCTGCTGAGAGAAGTCACAGGAGACTGTTTTCCTACACATCCCTTGGGGAGCACCACACTCTGTTAGAGTCCCAAAGTGAGTTCCCTGAGGAATCCCATGAATTTGTTATCCTTTCCCACTGACTAGTCATATACTTCAGTAGCTCTGTTCATTATTTATATCAGGTCATATAGCAGTCAAGTTAATATTCCAACATTTATGGGTGTGATACTATAAAGTACTCTGTATGATTGTATATGCTTAATAACAAAGTTATTTTTCTTACGTGGTTCTAGCGTGTTTTGTCCTGCCACCCAGTCCTGTGGAAGGAATCTTCCTTTTACCAGGTGACTCCAGGAACATAAAAAGCTGCAATTGTCAAGAGCTAGAATCTGCACTCAGGGTCCACAGCCCCCCTGGGGGCTGGGTGTGGTCTGAACATTTGAGTCTAAACCAAGGTCTGAAAGCCCAGTAGCTACTGAGGCTGGGTGTCAAGAACCCTTTCCCCAGCTGAGTGGATCCTCTGGGTTCTCCAGGGTGAGATTTTTTTTCTTTGGGTGTCTTAGGAGCTGGCAAAGGGAGTCCGACCCTATTCCCCACTACCACCGCACCCAGAGTGACTTTATTTTCACTCTGGTTTTTTATGTGAAATTCCAATGTGGTTTTTATTTTGTGGAATTCTAAGATTTCCTTTAGGGGTAGAGGAGGGAGGGAATGTTGACTACCTAAATGAAACTATTTAAACAGAGTTGGGGGAGAAGAAGCTACAATTATCAATGTAAAGTTAAGAGGAAGGGAGCTTTCATCCACTGGCCCATAAGGGAGGTGAGGTGTATGATGAAAAGGGAGAAGGTTGCTTTTACAAGATTTTAACCATCTTTAGAAGGGTGCCTTTAGAGTCTTGTAGTTAACCTGTATGTATACACCTCACCTTCCTTTAGTAAAGATTTCGCAATGCATGTTTTAAGCAGGACATTGTGCTATGCAGACAGGATGTGGAGTGAAAGGTCATGATCTCAGTCTTCCCTAAGGATTTTTGGCTGAACAGACAAGGATCCTTCCAGACAAAATAATTTAATCACATAAAAATGCAATTACAAGCCGTGATAAGCATTATGAAGGAACAGGGCTGGGTGCTACAGAGCCAGTAAGGGCCTGCCCCGTGCTCCCTCCCACAGTCACACACAGTTCATGCTGGGC